TAGCGTATTCATGTGTGTGATTGTTGCTCTGCTTTGCATCTTACCATGAGGCTACGTGCTTACTCGAAATGAACTGTTTGAATGCCTGTGGATGAAGGTTATTTTACTTGCATGGGGGATTATTTTGATTATATGTATGAGCTCATTTCTTTCCCTTTTAGTTATGTATACTCAAAACCTTTTTCAAAATCACAAAATCATTTCCAAAGCAAGCGAAACAGTCTATAACTTGTGTGCCTCACATAGTAAGTTAGCACATTAATAATCAGAACAAGAGCTTATAATGTTGATAAAAATCACATCATGATTAGTAGAGACTGATCTTTGATCGAATGAGTGGGGTGCTCAATTCATGACCTTCCCCTCTCATACCTAAGTTCCCAAGCTAAGACACTTTGGTTATGATAAATAAGTGGCCTTTGGCACAAGTCATGGGTTTTCTAAATTTCTCAAAAATATTTATGTGACGACTCTGAAATCTGGCAATGCAGTCTATTTTTGGCATCTCTTATAATTAATGGATTTTCTAAGATTTGTCAGATTTGTACTCTCATTTGTTTTCTGTTTCACATTACAGTTGTGAAACCAGATTCAGAACCACGGGAGTCTGAACTATAGGGCTATCGTACCTGAGGAGACTAATCTTTAACGTAAATCTATTTTACAACACTTTAATTATGTTATTAATGAACTTACAGGCTATGATAATCCTCATTTGAAGAAATTTCAGTTCATGATGTTTCATCCAAAATAAACAAGGGAAAAAGCAAGACAAAAGTGTCGCTTAACCTTAACTTGTTTGGTACAAACGAATTAGAAAACTTTGACTTTATTTATATGAATGAAGTTAAAGATGAGAATCTTGAGGATTGTCTTAAATGGTTGGTGGGTATACTTTCCACATAATTGTTTAGGATTCAACTCTTGAGGTCAAGTTATAAGAAAGAAATTTCTTTTGAATTTCCTAGTCCCGACGTGAATGGCCTGTCTCTAATCAAATCAAGAAAGAAATTAGTCGAGATACGTGTAAACTGACCCGAACATCTTTTACCGCCCAAAAAAAATAAAAAAGGTTAAAGATGAGACTGGTGGTAGCACCTCAAATCCAACACTAGAACCAATTATATTTATAAAAAAAGAAAAAGAAAAAAAGATAACAATCACAAGTACCCATAGCTCAATGATTACTTGTTTAGATATGACAAATGTCCCTTTTAAGTACAAACCAACTACTATCATAACTAATTATAAAGATCATTGATCCAAAGAAAAATTCTTCTAATTATATTGCAACAACCTTACGAGGAGATGTTCTGTAATGATTAAGACAGTAGAAAAAATAAAAAAACTAGAAAGAGCCAGAAAACTACTTTGTTATACAAATATTAGCTAAATTTACAAAGATCATACAAGAAAATGTATGTGATTTTGCAAGAGATGCTAATTTGTAAGAAAATGCAAATTATATTTTAGCTAAATTTAAACTATGTAACATTTGTTTTTTTGAAGATTACGTTCATACATTTAAAAAAAATATTATTATTTGATTGATCCATCAACTAATCTACCCTGGTCAGATCAATTTTTCTATGTACTCCCTAATCTATGAGATAAATTATGTATTAAAGGTTATCCTGATTTCAAAAAAATATGGGAAGGAGGACAATGATGATCTATGCACCCCTAAATGTGGAGTTCTCATTTGGGATAAATGGCAATGAATTTACATGTTTCAAAATTCTACAATGCAAGGAATTGTTCCAATGGTTGTAAACTTAATATTTTCCTCATGTTGTCAGTTTAATGGTTAGCAACTTCATCTTTCAAAAGTTCTCTCCCATTTAATTGGGTGCCCTCCCTCTCCTACTCTTAGTTTGGTTTTTTATAACATTCGTATCCTTTCAGCAGACCGATATGTGGTATCTATAACTTCAAAAAACAAAAAACAAAAAACAAAAAAAAAAAATTAACAAAAAGGTAAACAACACTTGACCATCAAGTCAATTTAATAATTAACCTATTGACTATAGAAATCACCCCAAGTGTGTACACCATTTTTAATAGACTCAATGTAATTATCTGAGTTCAGTAGTTCTCATCTAAATTTGACAACACAAGGGTCAAATGATTTGTAATAATGTTATCACTCATCCAAAACTATATTTTCATCTATTTTCCTGGCTTATCATTAACTTATTTTCTTGTGCCCCTGCTTTCCTAACCAATGGAGTTGGTAGTTATAATAGTCTTATTCTTATTTCTCTATAAAAATTAAAATAAAAATAAATAAATAAATAGTCTTATTCTTATTCAAGATCAAGTTCTGGGTGATATCTCATGAAATTCCCACATGGTTCTTAATTCACATTTAAAGAGTGTTCCTTGGACATTAAATGGTGTATAGAATTTTCGAACGAATGAAATACATTTTTTTTTCTTTGGGCAAATAAACAGACATTTTTTTCTTATTGTGTTGACCCCAACGTGCATATTATTTTTATATATTATTTTATGAAGAAAATTTGCATAATTATGTGTTAATTTTGTGCTTATCTATTTGTTCATGGAATATCTATTTAATTGCTTACTTTGAATCGAAATTTTGAAGCCTTAACGGAATCAGAAACCGAAATTGACTAATTCAATAGGTTAATTAGAATATTTAGAATCATGTGGCTTAAAATTTAATTCAGATTAAAATAATTAAAATTGAGTAAGATTTATTAGACTAAGGCTAGATTAATTAACCCTAAGCTTAATTAATTAGTCCTCCTAATCCTAGGTATAAATGTGTTATGAGCATGTTTTGAGCTCATTCATCACCCTTGGCTAAGAGAGAGAGAGAGAGAGAGAGAGAGAGAGAGAGTCAACCTTAAGGAGGAGAAATCAAGAATTGGAAAGGAAAAGAAGGGAATTGAAAGATTCATCAAATTCAAGGTCTAGGTATGAGTTACAACCATTATTCTTGTAGATAGTCCATATAGATGTTGAATTCAAGTAGTATATAGGATCATTTGCATGTAATTGGAAAGAAAATGTTATAATCAACTTGAATATGGTAGAAATGAGTTAAATTGAGACATGCATGCACCAATTCATCATCATTTTTTAGTTTGGTTTTCATATTTCTTACATGCATGGAGTTCACACCTGTTTTTAAGAATTCTTCATGATTTTACACTCATTACTCCATGAGTAAACATTTTGAAGGAAATTCTTTACATGCATGGCTAAAGTATGAAGTTTTAAGTTTGTTTTTAAGAATTCTTCATGATTTTACACTCATTACTCCATGAGTAAACATTTTGAAGGAAAGGAGTTGAATTCTTTACATGCATGGCTAAATTATGAAGTTTTAAGTTTGATTTTGAGAATTGACAATGGTTTTGAGCAATTGATTTCAAATTGGTTATGTTTATACGTTATTCAAAGAGTTTCCGTGTTTTTAGTCTAGCCATGCAAGCTTTTGAACTTTGAATTTGTGCTTTGGAACTCAAACTCAATTTTGGAAAACCCAAAATTTGACATCACTCGAGCGCACTTAGCGAGCTCCTAGTATTTTTGCAAAGCTTTGCAACTGGCTCAAGTGACCAAGTGTGTACTCGAGCGAACCCAACTTTGCACTACACTTGGCTCGAGCGACCAAGTGATTGCTCAAGCCCACTTTGACACCATCTAGTACTTTTGCAGACCAAATGGTCTGCTTGAGGGACCAATAGTGCACTTGAGCAAACTACCCTATTTTCAGCATTTTTGAAACACACTCTCATGTGTATGTTTTCATTCTCATGCAACTATGGGCATTCTTGAGCATTGTTTAGACATCATTAATAAGGAAATGAATTACAAACACATTCGAAGAGGATTGAAATAAGACAAAACATTTGATTAAGATGTGTTTCAATGTATGCCTTTATTATATGTTATGTGTAGGTGGTCACCCGAGGCTTAATATCAGTACAAACCCACTGTGAGTAATGTTTTTATAAAGCTATGTTCGAAAAGTTTTTTTGAATCATTCAAGAATGTTATTTTCTTTAAGTCTTATTTTGTCATTCATGAATGAAGCTCCGTTTTGAACTTGTAATCATGGCATCCTTTAGTGAGGCCCTTGCTTGGGGAAAACAATATCAGGCTCATTGAATTTATTGAAACACAGAAATCTCTGATGTTTGACCCTAATGGTCCACATTGAATTACCTGCTACGGCTTACTGATTGACCCGTTATGATCCCATTAGATTGACCGTAGTGGTCCTATTGGCTTCGGCACATTAATACGTTATTGCTCTATTAGATGTACCATGTATAATGACTTGATTGGTTACTGTTAATGCAAAAGATTGATATGATTCGTTTTACACATTGTTTTGGATATTGAAAAAGATACATTTTGAATTATGTTGAATTTCATTCATTTAAATTTTTTATATTGATATTACTCACTGGGCTCTAACTCCCCCTATCCCTCATATATGTAAGTGAGCACATTGATCATCAGAATTAGAGATGCCTCAAGAGTTTACCCTCATGAAGCCATTTTGGAGTTCCTCCGTGATGAGACGTGCTTAGACTCAAATGAAACCAAGCTTTGTTAAACCCTTCTTTTGTTTAGTTTTGCTTTTGTTATTTTGGAGTTTGTTTGGGATGAATGTTTGTAAAGATGTTTAAATTTGTTGTGATATACTTATGTAAGAAGATGGAAGTTTATTTTCTATGAAGAGGTCTTTCATATGCTCAATGGACTATATCTTATATATTTGTTATTACTTCCGCTACGCCCCGTTTATGATATTATGACTAATTTTATCTTTGATGACAAATGTAATATGGAATTACTGGCCAGTCATGACCTAAACCTATAGGGGGCGGGCTCGGATTCGGGTCATGACACTTGTGGTAGCAAATGGACTTTTTTTTTTTTGCATGGTAGCAAATTGCAGTGTACTATAAATCCCAAAATACACTGCCGATCTGGTAACTTCAGCCACATTGTTCATAAAGAATAAATCAAAAGATAATGCAATTAGCTAGAAGAAGAAAGTGAATAGAAAGCAATTTGCGCATTTAAACAGGCATTTTGCTATTCCAGTGACATATTTAATACCTAGGAATTAGCAAACAATAGATACAGCATTTCGTTATGCGCATATACAAAAGTACAGTGCAAACCTACAGTAATTTCTGAGAGCAGCCATTCCATCCACTGTCACATAGGCGCGCAACACTTTCACTGTCAAGGTGTAAAATTAATGGCTCACGATCTTCTGTCCATCTTCCTTTCGCTAGATCTTTTCTCCTCTGCTTCCCTTCGTCTTTGTTGCCTGCAATTTTAAGCGAGTTTAAAAATAATGCCAGCATGAAGTTGCAAAATGCCTATCAAACTGAAACAATAAAATAGTACAGAAGACCAGTCTATTACAATAGTTCAAAACCAAACCACATGAACAGACCAGTTTGTCACTTGTGTTTATTAAAATATATTGCAAATCCATCCCATCTGTTAAAACACTTGAATTATCACACAACACATGCCTTGTCCAGAAAACTATATGATTTCCTCACTTCTCATTCAACTACTTAAAAATAACCTAATCCACAATTCAAAACTCTCTGTCCAACAATCTCTTACATTGTTCAAACCTCAACTTGGAAGTATTTATCGTACCTGTTTACAGGTAGTACAAGAGCCTTACTTCACTCCTCTTTACTTGAGTCCATAAGTCTGTTGCATCATTATGTCAACTCCTGATTCCTAAGCTTTTGAAAAGATACACCACCTCTAATCACAACTGCCATTAATTGAAAACAAAGTTTTTGCCAATCCAACCTCTATCCCTTGCCGCAAAAATTATGCAGGAAACTACTATTCACTTTTACATTAACATTATTGTTTTTCCTTTCTGTATAAGTTTTGAAGAAGCTTACCTCAGAAATGCAGGAAACTAATTGGGATAAAGATGTCCAAAAAAAATTATTGTAACATCACAATTATTGCTGTTGAATTTGTTTCTTACTTAAATTTCAGGGGCACCATCAGGTTTCTTCTGGGTTTGTGTCCTGTTCAAGCAGCAGCTCCCCTCCCTCACTTTCACCAAAACAAAACAAAAATCCACTTACTCATGCATTGGACCTAAAAGTTCTTTAGTTACCCAATCTTAATTAAATTAGGATCTATGGAACGCATTTACCTAATCGTAGTGTTGCACTTTTTTCTCTTCAACAGTTGATTCAATTGGTTCATTCCACCAATGAAAATTGATTAAATTTTTATTTAAGTCATGCTTCATTACAATTTTGAGTGATTACAATCAAACAATTTCACATGATAATGACTTAGACTGGAATTTACCACCAGCTCTTAGCCTGAGTGGCATGAGTATCATCATGTAGGTGTTTGGGAATCTAGTTTTTGGCTAAAATGGCCAAAAAGCCAAAACACCTAGTCACATCACTCCACTTTTTTGCACGTCTTTTCGTAAAAAGCCAAAAAACCAACTAAAATAGTCAATTCCCAAACAAGCTCATTCAACTCCTGATTGGTCATATGTTGTGTAACCAAACCAAACCAAGCGTGCCTAGAATATAGTTAAAAAATAAAAAAATTAATACTCTTCTGGCATTCTAGCAAGTATTTAGCAAATCTTCTTTTGGGTTTGATACCTTGCAATGCAGGAAAACAAAGTGGCAAAGATTATCCGTTAACTTTTGCTTCAAAATAACAAACTTTACCTAGGTAGAACCTACAAGGCAGGAAGCCCAGCAAGTATGCCTCGCTGTACCTTGAATTCATAATTATTTTATAGCCTGATTGGCTCCTACTCCCATCTAACACTTTATCCATAACAGGATGGTTGATACAAAACCAGTTATTGCAAGGTTATGGGGACAAGTAGAAAGCCTAACAATACTTGCTCCTATACTAAAAAGCATAGACACTTCTAAAAAGGTAGCGTATCCGTGTCATGTCCATGTCAGACACCGACACTTGTTGGACACTTCCTAACACGTGTCTGACACTCTTCAAAACATCTCTTATTTTTTAAAAAGGCTTTTAGATCCGGACACTCTTTAGACACTTGGAAGACACACGTGTCTATCGCTTAAACAAACACGCAACTAATTACAAATTTGAACAAAATAAGTTAAAATACAATACAATAATAAAATAAAATCAATGTATATTTATAAAAATAAATGTTATATTGCATTTTTTTAATTATCTTTGAATAATGCATTCATATATGTGACATATATAAAATTATATATTTCACAAGTGTCCATGTGTCGTGTCTTTCATTTTTTTTTAAAATTAGTGTCCGGTGACCGTGTTAGCTCCTATATTATTTACAAATGTTATTATTTCCATAACCCATACTTATGAGGTTTCTGGCACAGCATTGACGACATTTCTCTAAAAATACCATACTTTAAACCACAAAATAAGGGTAAGCAATGATAAACATTTAGGTATTAACATAGAACTTACGCGAAAGCAGTGTATCCAGTACCAGCATTAGCAGCACTTAAGAATGCTGCATGTGCGCCAGCTGCAGATACAGAATCCTGCCCTCCAGGAGGCAGCAGATTTCTTCGATCACCATCCACCTGAAAATAAGATGAGTTACAACATTACTAATCATTACTTGTATCTTTACAAAATATATATATATAGCACTCATAGAAGATGGCTGATTGAGCCCGGTTTATTATATGTGAAGATGACAACCTTATCCCACTTTGACTTCTTATTTTGCCTGCCATCCCGAGCCACGGAATCAACTGCGGCTGGAACTGGATGCAACCCACCAGAAGCCACAGTTGATGCACCTACAAATAATAACAATCCACCGAAAAAAAAAATCAGGTAATGACATGCTATGCAGACCACCAACCATAAATGAGAGAACGGAAAAAATCACATTACAGGTGATTTCTAGACCTGGAATTGGAATATTAATTTTTGGTGCCTGTGCAACCACTCCAGGTTGTGTTCCTCCTGTAACAAATTCAACCTTTTGATTCTTCTTCTTTTCTTGTTCCTTCCTCTCCATTTCACGCTTCATATCAACCTCTTCTTAAAAACATAGAAACCATGAGTGACTGGATTTTATGTTTGACAGAAATACAACAGCATTCGCATTAAATTAGACATTGTCAAATAAGGAAGTTCAGAAGTGTACAAATTAATAAACAAAAGCTGCACATGAACTATACTATTCATAAAATAGTTCAGGCTTCGCTCAGCAGAAGCAGATTCAAGCTCATCAATTAGTGTTGACAAAAACAAAGCTGACATATGAATTTAAAACTGAATTATTAGATGATGTGGGCCATAAAAACTTTATATAAGAAAAAAAAAAAAAAAAAAAAAAAAAAAAAAAAAAAAAAAAAAAACTCAACAAAACGTAAATTTAAAGATGTGGCAAAAATTGCAAATCAGTTTGTCTCAAGTTGAAACCATCTTGGAGTTTCGCATAGTCCAGTTTGTAGTTAGTTTAGGATCTTATTATATGACTATTGAGTTTTAGATTAATCTGATAACTTATTAAGTGTAATGCCCTCAAATTGTAGACAACAGGCACTCATAACTCTCAACAGATATGCGGAAGCTTATTAACATAAATCTTTAAATCATGCAACTTTGCAAGCATTTTTCAGGACTATCTTCCATTTCATTGATATCTACGAAGTATTACAAGACTAATATCACATGCATTAATACATTCATTAACCCCAAGCTATGAATCTATAGCATATGACAGATATATATATATATAAGAAATGAAAAGAAGAAAAAAGAAGTTCATGCAATGGCTACATATTTCCAAAACGATAATTGGTTACAACAAAAGTAGATCAATCCCAATAAATATAAAAGCCCTAGACTTGCACAAAAGATATTTACAACATAAAAAAAAAAATTGAGCCTTCAACTCCGAAATCCTCACAAGCCAAGTCCTTGGCAGATGCATACCATCAGTACCTGAGAGTTGGATTCCACATTGGGGGAGCTAAAGCCCAATAGAGATTAATTTAATATACTGTATGATGCTTAACAAGTCATAGAGTGAATGCACATGAATGCCTTTTACCAAAAGGATGTATTTTCTCTTTCAAATAATGCAATGCCATGTTTATAAATCAATTCATAAACTGATTCTTTTTAAAACAAAAAACAGGCTAGTGGATATACAACACTGGGAATCTCTAGGTACATGTCTACCAGTAGGCTAGACAATCACTACCAAAGCCATTTTACCGATATTAACTAGAAGGATCGGCACCTAACCGCGCGAGTTTCTGGACTTTCACCAAGGACACATAGGCCAACATAAACATAACCACGATATCCCCTAACCAAATTCACCAAGGTATTTACCATTTTTTTTTTCAAAAACAATACATTTTCCATGTATAAGTATGAAACAATGTTCAAATGCAAGATGTATGAGCGAAATAGTTTTAATCAACCTAGTACTCATGTAATTTCTATAACAATCAAAATTATTATCCACCGATAACCCAAAATAGATATCTCTATTCAAAAGATAAATTTCAAGAAAACAGATATGACCTTCTACTTTAAGGCTGCATGGTTGGCATTGGCGGCACCTTACGCCTATGCCCAACCAAGGCCATGGCATGGTGGTGGCATGCCAAAACAGAAAGGTGGGAACATGGTAAGTGTTGTGTGTCAGCAGCACTCAACCCTTGGCCCAAGTGTGGGTAGTATGGCACAGATGCAAGGCATTAATATGACTTGAATGTGGGCAGCAGCATACTTGGAGGTTGAACACAATCAATGCACAAGACTTAGTCTAGTGGCCAAGGCAACCAACTTCGTGCCTAGCTTGATGGGGCAGACTGCAAGGCAGTTATGCGTATCTGTTATACCTTTGTTGGGGTAAAGACAAGGCAAGGCTGAAAATCAAGAGGTAAGGCTGGAAGTTAGGAGCAGTTATTGGTAGTTATTTGTTGGGGTAAAGACAAGGCAAGGCTGAAAATCAAGAGGTAAGGCTGGAAGTTAGGAGCAGTTATTGGTAGTTATCTCTAGATTGTTTTTAAGTCCCTAGGCAGTTGGGGGTGTCAACTACCATGCCACTTAGCATCCTTTCCTTGCATTGCTGGTTGTATTTTGTAACTGAATGTAAGCCATGGCCATGGAACTCAAAAATTCAGTCAAGTATTTTGAGAGTCTCCATTGGCATTCCTTTGTATTGTTGGCGCAATAATAAAGGTTAAAAATTTCCTACAAATTGCGTTGCCTTCTCCCTTACTTGTTCAAACTCATAGTGTGGGTGTGTGTTGCAAATTGACTGAGACTAAATGTTAAAACTTAGTGCCATCACAAGACTAAAAATTTATACTCTGAAAATTCGCCATGTGACAATTGGTATTAGAGCACGGTTGCTCATAAATGATGCTTGGTATGGAAGATTTGAAAGAACGAGTGACGCGGTTGGAGAATTTGGTGGGTGCGCCCGCAGATGAAAGTCGCTCACTGACTGACTGGTTGGATGCTGTCGCTGATGGCTTCCTTAGCCTTCAAACCGAGACAGTAGATCGGTTCAAGGAAGTGATGGCTAAAATGCTTACTATATCGGATGCTTGGAAAGACACATCGCAGGAATACTGACGAACTCTCCCTTGTGAAAAAGGCTATCTGTGGGCATACGAATCATGGTGAGACCCCTGTGAAAATTAAAGTTCCTGATCCTAAGGCTTTCAGTGGTACTCAAAGTGCCAAGGAACTTGAGAATTTTCTATGGGACATGAAACAGTACTTCAAGGCTGCTCATGTGCAAGAAAGAGAGAAAGTTACCATCACAAGCATGTACCTTTTGGGGGATGCTAAACTCTGGTGGCATACTCGTATGGAGGACGATGCACGCCCTCAAATTGAAACGTGGGAATCGTTAAAGAAGGAATTGAAGGAGCATTTCCTTCCTTGCAATTCATCTTGGGTTGCAAGGGAAGCCTTACAGAGATTGAAGCATACAAGATTTGTGCGGGAATATATAAAGCAGTTTAGTTCTTTGATGCTTGACATCAAGAACATGTCCAACGATGACAAGTCGTTTAATTTCATGTCTGGACTTCAAAATTGGGCTCAGTTAGAACTTCAAAGGTTGGGGCTGAAGGATTTGCCTTCGGCCATGGCTGCTATGGATGGCCTACTTAACTACAAACTCAGTCAAGCATCCACTTCAGAATCCAAGTCTTCCAAACGTAAAGGGAAGGACAAGAGGAATGATAAGCAGACATCTGGGTTTAAGAAGGTGAAGGCAGGCTACAAGTCTAAGCAAAAAGGTGAGGAATCACAGAACAAAGGGGAAAAATCAAATTTTGGTTGCTTTATTTGTGATGGTCCTCACCGTGCCAAAGATTGTCCAAAGCGAGAGAAATTGAATGCCATCGTCATTGAAAATGACAAGGATGGTTCAGACTCTGATGGCCCTACAAGAGTCTAATCCGTTGTAATTGTTGAATACAATTCACTCAGATAAGGCCCCATTGACGAGGTTAATGTACATTGAGTTTTAGGTAACTCTATTGTCTTTGCTATGGTGGACACAGGCACCACACATAACTTCTTGTCAGAAAAGATGGTGTAGTCCATTGGGTTGAAAGTTACCAAGTCCAAGCCAAATCAAGGCGGTGAACTCAGTTGCACAGCATGTGCACGGGATGGCTTCTGATGTACAAATCAGAGTTGGTGAATGGGTTGGACAAATTGATTTGATGGTGGTTCCTTTGGATGATTTTGATGTCATTCTTGGGAACGACTTCTTTGTGACAACAAAAGTGGCATCAATGCCATATTTGGGAGGATAACTAATTTCAGATGAACACAAACCTTGCATTGTTAGTGGCTGTAACCGGCCAGACAAAGGCAAGGGCATGAAGAGAAAGACAGAGACATTGTAGGCCATGCAAGTGCACAATGGTTTGAGATCAGGAACTCCAAAATGTTTGACCACATGTTTGAAGAACAACTCTGAAGCCACATCAACAGGGCATGCACGTGGTGCAGATATACAAATAGAATACTTAGAGAAACGATCAACAAGAACAAAAATTGAACGCATACCATCCACCTTTGGCAAACTAGAAATGAAGTCCATAGAAATGGAGACTCAAGGCTTCTCCAGAATGAGAAGAGGCAGTAGTAAATAGGCTTCCTTTTTGTGCTCAATTTTGTCTTGTTGGCAGACCAAGCATGTCGTGGCATACATCTCAATGTCATCTTTCATCTTGGGCCATTAATAGGAACAAGATAGAAGAGCCAACATCCGCTTTACCCCCGAGTGACCAGCCCATTGCGGATCATGTGTTTCCCTCAATAATTCCTGTTTCAATCCCCCATTGTTAGGAACAAACAATCTATCTCCTTTGGCATGGAGTAGATCATCTTCCAACCAATATCTGCGGACAACTCCCTCTTTCACTTGCTATACGAACTTCTAATAAGCGGCATCCCCAACAGCATTCTCACGAACTCAGTCCAACAGATTTGACTTAATGGTAGAAATGGCAGCCACATGTTCCTCAACTACCTTCCTACTCAATGCATTCACAACCTGGTTGTGCCGAACAGGTTCATGCTTCCACTCGAAGTCATACTCCAAAAACTCTTGCCATCGAGCATGTCTAGGAGACAACTTTTTTCTGCATTTTGAAGAAAGTATTCACCACATTATCTGTTAGGACTTGAAACTTAGTCCCCAACAAATAAACCCTCCAAATGAGAAGACAATGTACCATTGCTGTCATTCCTTTCTCGTGGGCTAAATAGTTTTTCTCCGCAACATTTAACTTGCGACTTTCAAAGGCAACTGGGTGCCCTCCTATACCAAAACGTCGTCAATGGCTTTGTCCAACGCATCAATATGCACTTCAAAAGGAAGTTCAAAATCTAGTAACCGCAACACCAGTTCAGTTGACACCGCAACTTTTAATTTGTCAAAGGCCACTTGACACTTCTCACTCCAATTCCACTTTTGATCCTTCTTAAGCAAATCAGTGAGTGATGCGGTCTTTTTGGAGTAGCCCTCAATGAACTTTCTATAATAG